GCCAAGCATCAGCTGGGAGGCACAGTGCAGGGAAGGGGGGGGGGATTACACACGTATGCGCAGGGGGGCGTGGTGGGGGGTGCGTGCATTGCGCACAATGTTTGACACAGGAGCCCGAAAAGGTTAGCCACCACTGCTCCACACCGTTTCTGACAAATGACTGTCCAATCTCTTCTTAAAAGCCTCCCGTGACCCATAACTTCTGGAGGCGAGTTCAGAATAATAGAATAATTGAGTTGAACTACAGGTTAACAGAGTTGGAAGGGACCTTGAAGGTCATCTAGTCCAAACCCCCCCCCCCGCCTAAGCAGGAGACCCTACACCATTTCTGACAAATGGCAGTCCAATCTCTTCTTGAAAGTCTCAGTGATAGCGCTCCCACAACTTTAAATTATGCAACTGTGCCTTGACAAGACACACTTGTGTGGACACACGCCTTGCAAAAAACCCTGGTTGTGTGCCCCTGATAGCACAGGTAGTCCTTGACTTAATGACGGTTCGGTTAGTGTCCGAAGTGACAACAGCCCTTAGCAGCGTTTTTCCAGACTTAACGACCATTCCAGCATCTCTCTCCATGTTCAGACGATCGAAATTCAGATGTTTGGCCACTGGTTCATATTTACGACGGTTGCAGGGTGCCCGGGATGTCCTGTGATCCCCTTTTGTGACCGTCCGACGAGCCAGGTTCGCTTAACAATTGTGTTAATCACTTAACAAATGTAGGGATTCGCTTAACAACGGTGGCAGGAAAGGTTGGAAAGTGGGGCCAAGCTCATTTAAAAACTGTCTCACTTAACGACAGGGAACAACAACAAGCTTTCAAGGTGGGTTGGGCCGAGGTAGAGGGACCGGGACAAAGTCACCCAGATTTTGGGTGGGCTCAATTGTGGGCTCGATTGTGGTCGTTATACGAGGACCCCTGTATTGGAAAAAAAAATCTGTGTCCAGCCCTTGTGCCCCTGATAGTAACCAGATACAAAGGGATTTTTAGAAGTTAGTCAAATTTCCAGTAGCCCCTTTCAAAATGCAGGCAGTCCTCAGTTTACAACAGTTCATTTTAGTGACCAAAGTTACAGTGGCACTGAAAAAGGTGACTTAACAGCCTTTTTTTCACACTTACGATCCCTGTAGCATTCCCCCATTGTCACGTAATCAAAATCCAGACGCTTGGCAACCGACTTAACGACCTTGACCCGAAAAATTGCCTCCCTGAACCAAGGTCTCGCTTAGCAACATAAATCTTGGCCTCCATTGTTGGTCAATGAGTCGGGGACTGCCTGTAACGACAGCGGCTTACAGAATTGTGTGTTTGTGTTTAACGCACAATGAAGGGATTGGCAAAGCAGAGTTGGCTTCCCAGCTGAATTCACAGAAGTCTGGCTTGTAAATGAGCTGCCAAACAGCATTATTTTTATTGCATTATTATTACTAGCTCTGTACCCATGCTTTGCTACAAAACTCTGTGATTGGGCTTAGTTTTTGGGGAGGAAAATAAAGGGGAAAAATATTCTGCCTCTGCCTACCAGCATCCATCGGTATTCATCTGGCTAGCATCCTGTCAGTGTGTGAGAGAGTTGAGGGCTGTTTGGAAACTGAAACAGTATTTGCTGTGTGAGCAAGAAGGAGACAGCAAGGAGCCTGGGCGTAGCTTAGCTCAACTGTTCTGTACTAAAGCTGCTTGTGCTGTGAAACTAAGACTGAACCTCCTCTCCTCTGCTTGTGTTTTGCCTTTGGAAGATAATTTTTTTCAGGTGGGGAAGGGGGAGTAGAACTCCTAAGCATCAGAGCTTGTTAATAATAATAATATAGGAAATACTAATGCTCTGATGGTCATTTTGAAAAAATCTTTCTTAGTGAGCACCTAGAAGCCAAGAGGAAGATATGTGCCAAATTTCAAGTTTGTAGGCTTTATGGGTCTGGAGATTTTGTGATGATGCAACAGTGGTATTTTGCTTTTATATATATAATTATGTGACATTTAGACAGCTATAAGTCTCTAAGACTGTAATAAACTGATTGATAGACAGCTGTAAAATAAATGTGCTCTCGTTGCCCAATCAGCTTGTGAAGTTAGGACTGTTTTGTTAAGCTACAGCCAGTCCTCAACATACGACCACAACGGAGCCCCAAAATATACGTTGCTAAGCTGGACAGCCGTTAAGTCTGTTTCCTGCCGCTGTCGTTAAGCAAATCACTGCAGTGGTTAAGTGAGCCGCACGGTTGTTAAGCAAATGTGGCTTCCCCATGGACTTCACTCATCGGAAGGTCTCCAAAGGGGATCACGCCAACCGTCATAAATATGAGTCACCGGAACTGTCATAAATACGAGTTAATTGCTGAGGGTCTGAATTTTGATCACATGTCCACAGGGATGTTGCAAGTGTGAAAATGGCCGTAAGTCACTTTTTTCAGTGCCGTTGTCCCTTCGGACTGTCGCTAAACAGATGGTTGTAAGTCGAGGACAACCTGCGTATGGTTTATTAGCCACGGTTTATGAAATAAGCCACAGTTTAGCTCGGGGGGGGGGGGGAGCGGGAGGGACAGGTGATCTGCTAACACCCAAAAAGCCAAACCATCAGCAACCCCATGCGAGACTCTCACCTGAAAAAAAGAAAGTCGGATCATTTTTGTGAGGCGGCCTGCCTCCGCAAGCGATGCCGGCAGGCCGTGAGCGGTGGCAGGGAGTTCCCAAGGTGGCTGGGAGGTGGAATGCCAACTCTCCTCCCTTTCAAGCCCTCTGATTGGCTAGCCCCAAATCCTCTGCCTGTGAAATTATATGCTGGCTTGTGCGAATTCAGGCCAGAAGACTCTATTTAAAATTGCCGAGCCCGGATTGCGTTCTCAGCCTCAAATTGGTACACTGGAAGGACCCAAGCAACTGGTTTTTCCTCCTGCCAGGGGTTGAAACACTCACACACGCACAAAAAAAAACCACAACACAACCTATCACTTGTGATTCATCACCTGGTTCTTCAACTCCGGTGGAAACTTACAGCTCGGTGATCCGTTTCCCGCCCTCCCCTTTGGTACATACCAAAAGTCCTTCTGTGGATCCTTGCCAGCCAGGCTGGCATCCCAGCTGGGGATCGACGTTTCTTTTTTATTTTTTAAAAATTGTTTTTGTGGGAAACAAAAACTTTTGGGGGGCAGGCAGGGCGAGGTGGGGTGGGGGACACAAGCCCCAATTCACCGAAAGTGGATTAAAATGCGTTTTTTTAGAAAGGAGTTGACGAGCAGGCGCGGAGGCCCGCTAGATCTCAGGCGCGGCGTTTCGAGCATTTGGACTCGCCACGCGACGGACTGACAGCGTCCTTGGGTGCCGAGAGCTAATCGCTCTCTTATGTCAGGGGTGTCAATCCTGATCTCATTGAGGGCCGCATCAGGGTTGTGTTTGACCTCGGAGGGCCCAGGTTGGGTGCGGCCAGCCTGACGGCACTCGTGTCGGGGGCAACCTGTGGTGGCTTGAGCGCTCTGCCTGTCAAAACAGGTTCCCGAGCTCCGTTTTCGGCTGCGACGGCCTCCTGCATCCCTCTGCCAGTGAAAACGGAGACCGTTGGCCCAGGCCTCGCGGGCTGGTCCTTCGCTGTTTTCAGGGCGGCCCGCGGAAAGTAAATGCCAGTTGTCAAAGCCTCCGGATGTTGATGACATGATTGATTGATGGCGACGCAGTAACAGTCATAAGTGTGAGAAAAAGTGACGTCACTTTTTTCAGTGCCCTGCTGCCTTTGAAGGGTCACTAAAACCGTCATAAGTCAAGGACTACCTGCATTATTATTGTTATAGTTGTTATTATCTCTTATTCATTAAACATGAAACAGTCAACTGAACATTTTAAAATATATCACAAATATCACTGAGTGGTGCTGATGCTTGATGCGGGTATCAACCAAGTTCTTCTTCTTCTTCTTCTTCTTCTTCTTCTTCTTCTTCTTCTTCT